ATATGAAGTATTAAAGAATTTTAATAGTATAATATTCAAGTAATAGATCAAGTTAAAATATTTTGAATTAAAAGAAGACTTGCTTTATTTAAAGAATATTAATTGTATAATTATATTAGTAGTTTATAGTTTCTAAAAAACTATAAACTACTTAATTTATACTATAATATACTCAGATATGATATATGAATCGCAAAATTCAAGTCATTTGAGTGATTAGTAGAACATAAATTTCAAATTACTTGACTGATAATATATTTCTAGATGTGACATATAGATCACAAATTTCAAGTTACTTAATCAATAATATATTCCTAGATATAATGTATAGATCACAAATTTCAAGTTATTATCAGTCTAATATGAGAACTATGTCTAAATCTGGCATGTAGTGCCATAGTTAACGTGGCTGATTTCATAATATTAGTCACACATGAGCCAGGTAATAAAAAAAATATATCTGATAATGCATTAGATTATGTGTTATCATTTGTGGGTCTAATGTGAGGGCTATACTCAAATCTGGCATATAATATCTTAACTTTCTGGTTAATTCCTCTATAAGGGCCAGAGTTGAGGTACCTAGTGCTAAAATAATAATCATGTTATTTATATAATTCATCTGAATATCACCTAAGAATAAGATACATAGTGCCAAATTGTTATTATTTATTTCATGTCTATCCAAAGTATAATTTTTTATAATATATATCTGTAATAATTTTATCTTGACCAGATACTGATTTTTTTTGAATTATACTTAACAATGCATTTAATTTTATGTCCATCCAAAGTATAATTTTTTATAATATATATCTGTAATAATTATATCTTGACCAGATACTGATTTTTTCTTTGAATTATGTAATTAAAATAGTATACTTTGTATTTAATCATCCTTTCTATAATAATTATATCTTGATCGGACACTGATTTTCTTTGAATTATATTACTAAAATCATATCTACTTGATATCTATTCAAAGTATAATCACTCTTTCTATAATAATTATATCTTAACTGAATACCAATTTTTTATCAAAATTATACCTATTTGATATCTGTTCAAAATATAATTTTATAATATTAGTAATTATCAAAAACAGTTATATAGTGACTATATCTTGACTAAACACCAATTTTTTTTAAATATATATATATTATTTACTGAAAAGTACATCTTGATCAAAATTTTATGGCATAAAAATCTGAATCTCCAAGATTTAATCTGAATTATTATAAACCAAACTTTTTATACTAACAGTCTGCCATCTTAAATTGGATGACACAAAAATTCAGATATTTAAAGTTAATCAAATTAATATTAGCTTATTATGGAAGAAATTTCTCAAGAAATATATATATTTGTACGTGATTCTTCAGAAATAAAACAAGTTAATGTTAAAAAAGAAGATATTAATAAAATACTACAAAGTAATTATAATGATCATGTAATAATTTTTGAACCAAAAGGTTTTTATTTGATTTTATTTTGTAATGATGATCAAAATAAAAAACTGCCTGTAAATCTATTAGCAACTCATTTAATAAATTAATGAACAGAATGAGATAATATTCTCATTCCAGGATCTGCTTTATTATTAGATGATTATAAAAAATTAATTCTTGATGATTTGCACTTTTTGTTAAAAGAACCATTTAATATAGAGGAGGAAAAAATAGCTGTAAAAAAGATGAATAATGTGCTTAAAGATCTAAAATCATGTGATGTAAAATATTCTATAATATTTACCTAAGTTTTATTTCTATATAAAAATATGATAAGATCATTAAATCTAATAGCCATAGTCATAATCTCTCAATGCTTGTAGTATATCATGATATCTTTCACAGACTATCCAAGGATATTCAAGATTTAAAGATGCTGATTGGTTATAGTTCTTTTTTTCATGGATATTTATCCTATAATGAGGATAGTATCTCATTAAATCTTCTATACTTACATTCTCATTCTTTATCACATAGACTTTATGAACTCCATCTACTATAACTTTTATCACATTTTTATCATATACATTAGAAGGCTCCAGTTCAAGAGTGATGATATCTGATTTCTTAAATTTATGACCATTACAAAATCTTATTCTTACCATTATAAAGAAGTATGTAACAATACAATTTAGATATAATAATAGAGATACTTCTTTATAACTGCAATAAATATTAGATATGGTTAAAAAGGTATTATATTCTTCTATTATAAATAACTTTGATATTTAAATAGTCAGTTCCTAATATCTGACTCATGTATCTCATAACTGATCACTTTTTTTATCAACTTTCCATTCATATTTCAATATAATAAACTATATAACTATAATAATTAATAAAATAAGAAATATATATATGGATAGTGGTGATATCAAAGTACTTATTATAATAGGAATTACTTCTATTCCTCCTATCAAAATCTGAGAATATGATTTAATTAGAGAGAAGGTATAATCACTATGTAACTGTCTTTGGCAATTTTCCTATTGTGCAAGATATGGGGTTATATTCTTGGATATAATTAATGATATATCTGATTTTATCGATATATCTAACATAATATCTTTACTAGTTTCATTAATATTAGTTTTATCACTTATCTTGGGAATATTTTTAGTATTAACTTTTGGTAGTTTAGTAATTTTATTATCAGTATGATCTGACATAATAACAGAGCTATTATCAAGATATGTATTGATTTTTTTAGTCTCATTCATATTTTTTTTGCATATAAAATATTTACTAAGATTTTTATTAGATTTACTAACTGCAGATATATCATTAAACTTGGTTATATTTTTTTTATTAACTTCTTCTAATCACAGAATGAGATATATTTTCTGATTTCATATGTCCAAGTTTACTAATTTTCAAGACCAGTTCATTCTTTAAATTTATCAATTCAGACTTGAGAGATGTGATTTCAGATTCTTTTTTTAATATCTCTTCCTAGATCAAAACTGCATTATTCTAAGTCGATATTAATCTATCTTTTAATATTTTTTTTATAGACTGAAATATTGTAATTTTCTTGGATTTTATATTAATCTCAAATTTAGAATTAGCAAGAGAAATAGCTTTATTAGCATTATCAAACTACAGGTTTTGATTTTTGATAACAATACCTTCTAGTTTTTACTCTACTTTTTTCTATTCTGATCCTATCTCTTTCTTTCTTGATCAAAATTCTCATCTTGCTTTATATATTTATCCCATAATATACTATTATATTCATATAATTTAGAAGAGAATTAAAGAATATGATGTATTTTTTAAGATCTTTTACATAGATCATATCAAATAATAATATAGAAAAAAATCAATTAAATACTGAATAACTAATATTAGTAATATCTATAAATTACAAACTTCTAATTTCAAAAACTATATCTTATATATGTCTAGATATTTAAGATCTGATGCAACTCCTCTTTCTTTTGAAGTAATTTGTGAGATTATAGATACTAGAAGAACAAAGAATGCATTATCAATTTTAGCTAAGAAATATAAAATATCAAATAATCATATTTATAAAATATGAAAAGAACAGGAATATCCTATTGATCTTACACTTAATATAAATCAGGATCTCATATATGAAATTTTGATGATAGAAAAAAAAAATCTAATACTAAAGACCTTATTGATTTATGTAGCAAGTTACTAATTAATAATACTATAATCTTTAATAATATTGAGAAATCATCTGATATAATATCTTTACAATTTCAGATTAAATCTCATAATATTCAGCTTTCTACCAAAACACAAAATATGATAAGTTTTTATTACACTACTTGTAGGCACGTTAATCAAATATTAACTAAAGATATTAATCAAATATTGATTAAAAAGAATAAATTGAATAAGAATTAGATATCAACTGATATATTTAAATTAAATCTTTATTGAATAGTCTAGATATATCAAAACAAAATTAGATAATTACCAAATAGTCTAGATATATTAAAATAGAATTAGATAAATATTGAAACTATATTAAAAAACTTTCAGATTTATATCTAAATATTTTTTATTTTTATAAATAGATTATGTCTCAAAACTCAGAAAAAATAGTTCAATATCTGTAATCTGATACAATATCTTTATCAGATAATAATATACAAGATATCATTAATTCTAAAAATTCAATAAAATATGCATCAGAAGCTATGACTACCAAATATAAAATATCAACAAGATGTGTATATCAAATATAGAGAGAAAATTATCCTCTAATAAATCCTAGGGAAGTGATATCATGATCAAATATTGTATGCAGTAACTTAACTAAAGACACTAATCAAAATACTAATATATCAAATTCTGTTATAAATGTTTTCTATATAGAGTTCCAAGCTTTAGATAATATATTGATAGAAGTATTATAACCAAATAAATGAATAAAAATAAAGAGATTTAAGTTTGATCAAATTTCTAAATTGTCTAATATTAAAAAATCATGTCTTTCACATAGTGTTAGTAAAGCTGATATGATTAATGATATAACAAAAAAAATGATATATATACTTTAATCGAATATAAATGCAAAGAAGCAAAAGGAGCTGAACATGAGTCTGAAAGATTTTTAAATCTCAACTAATCTATCTTTGTCTTTTTTATATCAGTATTAATAACCTTCTTATAAAAGTCTTCAGGCTTATTTCTATGAAGTCACAATTTTTTATTGAGTTTGATTAATTTAAATCTGGAGTTGAGTATCTCATATAGTAATTTTTTGAGTTTCTTATAACTTATACAATTTTTTTTTAAAATTAGATTGACAAAATCTAAGCTAAAATCTGCAAAAGCATACTATTCTTCTAATAATACATTATCATTCTTATTACTATTCATCTTCTGAGAAATTTGATCAGATATCAGAGACTTATCATCCTGAGTTACAATTGTGCAGTTCACTTCAAGCTTATTCTTGATCTTGTACATATTAACTAAAATAAAGTACTCCTTACCATTATATACAAGTTTTAATTCCTATTTTGATGCAAGTAAATCATAATCATATTTATCAAGCAGAGTATTAGATAAGATTAATATGAATTTATGATATTTAATAATTGTAAAATCAGAGTATATAGTATAGCCAGACATAAAGTTTATTGATACATTTCAAGTAGTTTTAAGAGATTCTGTAGGAATAGTAGTAATACCTTTGAGATCATATTTTTCTTTTGTATTAATTATCAACTTTAATCATTTGGCTATATTTTCAAACATAATTACAAAATTTGCATCAGAATCCACTGTGACTACTGGAATTATTAATTGTTTAATTTTGTATTTAGTGGTAATAATATTTGTGACTGGATCTTTTCTTTGAATAAAGTCAATTTCTATAGGATCATCTAATGTTTCTTTCTCTGACTCCAGTATTTTAGGAATTGGTTCTCAATATTTTTTAAAGTTTTGATCCTGAATAGGTAAGATCAAAATAGAAGAATTTTTAGCATGAGTTTGTATATTAGTATCTATCTATCTTACCTTTGAGTTTATCTATTTAATCTATAGGTACGATATCATCAAACATATCTAATATAATCTTTTGAAGAAAAGCCTATTTGATACAAGTTAATTTATTTTTGGACTTATCAGAAATGAAAGTATTCTTTTATTTTATCTTGCAGAGTTTGAATTCCTTCTTGATCTTGAGTTCCTTAGACTTTACTTTTTTTTGCTTTGATAGTATTGACAGTATTAATAATTTTCATGATTTTAGTCTCAGATAAGTTATTCTCAGAATCAGATTTTATTCCAAAATTAGATTCTATCCCAGAGTCAGTATCAGAATCATTATTAGATGAGTTAGTATCCAAACCTGATTCAGAACTTGAATCTACAGTAATCTTATTAACCTTACCTTTCTTATTGGATTTGCTTTTACTAAAATAGCTAAACCTACTCTTTTTTTTATTTTTTGGGCAATTTGGAGAATTTGAATGATGACTAGTTCTATGATATCCTAAGTATCTATATTGAGATGATTTTTTAATAGCATTTATCACTCAAGCTAATTTTGTCTGGTTGATTCCCAACTGCTCAAATTGTAATCTAAATCTTCAATTGGGTCATAGTCATAATCTTCTCTAGATAAACTTGTATTATCTATAAACTCATCTAAAAAACAGTTCATAATAAGATTATCTGCTTTTTGTTTTTCAGGACCAGGAGATTTTTTCAAAGTCTGCTGTCCTTTAGTAATAGTTCTCTTCAAACTAGCTATAAATTTTTTGAAATCATTTTGTGAAAGCGTGATTTGATTAGATTATTCTTTCTGAGATTTAGAAGAAATAAATTGTATAGAAGCTATAATAAATTTTACAAATCTTTCTAATTCATTATTACTCATATTTGTATTACTTGAGTAATTATTCTTCCTATGGGCTTTAGTTGTTGATACCAAATCTAAGATTAGATATAGATATACTCCAGATAATTACTTGATCTTATATCTTTCAATTTTTTCAAGTTCTGTGAGTAATTCAGATATAGACCTATTAATTTCAATATATCAAATTTCTAATTGATTGTCAGAGGAGATACCATGAAGAAACTATAATTGAATTTGTTATTTATCAATATCAGCAAGTCTAGCAAGTTTATGTAACTTGAAATAGAAATGACTAATAAAATCACTATCTTGAACTGCTGATCTAAAGATCATTCACTGTTTCTCAGTTATAATTATTAGATAGTTAGTCTTGAGCTAGTATATTACCTAACCAAGTTGAATTCCATCTGCAATTACAGATTAACCAATGTTGGTATTTGGTAAATTTACTATATAATTAGTTGAATAACTATTGGCAAAAGATCATTCTTCATCAAATATTATATGGGCTGGAATAAGAATATTTTCAGTCTGACCTACAGCACCATGTCTTGCATTTATACTAATTTGCACTGTCATTCATTCTTGAACAAGAGCTAAAATAGCCTATATAATATTATCAAGTAAATTTCTTAATTTTCAGTTTTTTTTTCAAAGAGATCTTTCATATCAATCCTTAGTATCATCTTTGAGATATGTTTCAAAAAGACCATATGCTCAAACTCTATCAGCATGTCTAGTATTCACATTAAT